ACAAAGTACCAGCTCTCTTCAAGTGAAACAGATACATTCATACAAATTCAACAGCTCTTTTTCAAGACAAAATATCATCATCACCTGGCTAAGGAGTATAGTCAAAACAGTGACACAGACCAAAAATCACAATTTTAAAAAAATTAGTCCTGGATACTTGCCAAATAGAGAGCTCACCACTTTCAAAAAACTTTCTGAAGAAAAAGACACTTTTCCCAAGTAAAAACCATCTTGTTTCTGGAAAAAAAATCTTGGTGGGGTGAAGAGAAAAGAAGTGTTTCATAAAGTGTTATCTTGCCAGTTCTAGCAGTGGTGAAAATTTTACTCCCAGTTGTAAATAAACATGAAAGAATCTTCTCTAATGGGTAGCAGATTTTTCATGCTTAAACACAGAAGAAAAATTTTGGAAAGTCAAACTTTCATTTGATAATGTATCACTTCAGTTTTTGGCTTATGTCTAAAGATATGGTTATCTAAATTAGGGCTAGATTGTACCAGTGTGCACCTAAGAGAAACCCTGCTGAGGTACAGTTCCTTCTCTGATTGCTCAGTGGGTAGAGTGGGGAAGTAATTTGCTGCAGGGGTTAGGTGTGCAATGGGAGAAGGAGGGGATTATGACTGCCTGCCAATTAGTCAATAGTGACTCCTGTGGCTGATCAAGAGGATTAGTTCTCAGGGCACAGAAGACAGTCACCACTTCCTTAGCTCTATTTGTGTGTGAGAAAATGTAAGGTTACTTATAAGAAACAACTGATATGATTCCATGTAAATTCTTTTAGTTATACGCTGCACCCAGAGTCTTTGTAACTGTAAATTATCATTATTTCACCAATTAACACCAACTGAGGAACTGGATCTTATATTCTATTATCTTCATACATTTATACAATAGTCTTTGAAACTTTGATCAAGATCACTGTTTTTAAATAGATAAGATCATATAAGCACAGTATATTAAGTAATAATGTTGCTAGGGGTCTAGAATAAAAAATGTTGTCCGTGGCTGGTTTGCTCCGATACACTCTATTCAAGGCCCTATGTACTCTGTGGCTAATTTAACCTAAATTCTGCTGCTACTTTTTTCTGTTGCAACAGGGTGGAAGTTCTGCAATAGCTTCAGGCATATTAAAAGTGGAGGTTTTACTAAATTAATTATAGAGAACAAATTATATAAGCAGTATCGTATCCCTGTGCTATTTATTTTGGTATTTCATTCCACTAATTTTATACTACCCATGAATTTTCACTATTGATTGTGCTGCAGAATTTGGTATTGAAACTAGGAAGAAAAAAATAAAGGTTTGGGCCTCTAAGTAAAGGACAGTTGAGGCTTTTAATACTTGGGAAGGTATGGGAAGCAGCTTAGGTAGGATAAATTGTACGTTTCTGCAAAAATACGCAGCTGTGAAATAGTTGACAATTTTGACCCCTGAAATAATCATTATTATGTTTCAGAGTTAATTCAGTAGGTGAAATCAGTGGGTCAGTTTACACTTACAAGAGCTATTTTTTCTAATTTGCTTGCAAACTCAGGCACACATCACCTGGTGAATTTACATTCAATTGGTACTTTGAAAGTTTTCTTTGCAACCATAAGGCCAAAAATGTGCTTTATTTTTAATAAAGAAAGCTGAGATCCTGCCTCAATATTCTGCAGTAGTGGGTGAATTCTTTAGTAATTTTGTTGGCAGAGGACTCCTGACCATTGCCAAACTGGGTGATGAACAAACACAGAAACTTGTTTCATTAACATATTTTCTTCAGTTAGTGTTTAAATGTACTTGAAGTGGCCTTCTGGAAAGCACAGGTCATGAAACAACAATTACTCTTTAGTTCTCAGCTATTCTTCAGTATTTATTTAACTTGACAATAGGATAGCTACAGCTTCACAGTTTAGCTCATTTATTTTTATGTTTTAAATGTTTGTACAGTAGCAAAATGGTTTTGAATATCTCTGTAATAGAACAGTGTTTCATATTGCAGCTGCTTTGGCTTTCTTTAGTTTAGACTCCATGCAGGGTAGGTTGCTTTAGAAAACTGGCAAACTTTAAAACCACTCTTCTGCTAGCCAGAAGTGGTTTCATAATTGTTACAATGTACTTTACCCTCAGCAAAAACCTGTGAAAGCTCATTTTGGAAACAACCGCTAGCATGGGCCAAATGGTTCTGAGGGGGGAGTGCCCATAATCTCTGTTGATAGTGACAGTGAAAAGCTGCATAGGTCTAATTAAAAACTCTTTACATTGAAAGGGACACTTATCTCCTCCATCAGTGTGCAGATAATGGATTTCTTTTATGTGTTATTCAGCAATATATCAATGAAAAGGCTGAAAAGATAGCAAATGATGTAAAGCATGTACATTCATTTCAGTACATGTTGAATGTCTATTTACTTAATATACAGTGGCCATCATCACTGTAATACGAGGGGCTCAGTTATGAATGCATTTATTCCACAACATGCTTATAACATATGGTAGGTGTTGATATCCTTTTTCTCACTGATACGGTTATTGTCCTCAAAGATGATACACTGAAGCATAGTCGGATTAAATGACTGTCTTAACATCATTTAACTGCTTCCATCAGCATGAGCAGGGGGACTAGAAGAGAGACCTGGCAGTCAGAGGCACAGAAGGGAAAAAGCTGAAAAGCCCCACAGGAATGGTGGTGGTCTATGAGGATCTGGATCCATGTAATGGAGCAGGTCTGTGATTTGGCTTCACATCACTGGATTCTTCCATCCTTACAACCCTGAAAGAAAAAGTCAAGCAATTCACTGCAGAGAGGGTCTGATGCAATTTATATGGGTCCCCCCCCCCCTCTATGGCATGAAATCCCAGCCCATCCTAAAGGGAAGCTCTGAAGGCAGTCACATCTAGCTGATCAGGAGCTATGCTCCTACATATATGTATGCATGCAAAAAAAACAGGTCTGATTTTGTTCAGTTACAATGTGTATTGTATTTTTCTCCTCCACAAGCTCCATAAGATTGGCATTATCCTGTAGTAGTGTCACAGCCTGTAGTCGTTTAATGCCACTTCTTCTGAGGCCAGGATTCCACGCCCAAGTGCATTTAGTAGGTCAGTACAGTAATTTTAAATGTCTTTCTTTCAATCTTTTGCCATCTTCAATTATACCTTTCCACCCTACTATTTGTGTAATTTTCTTCTGTCTGAAGTCTCTTTACTGTTGTTCTCTATTGCACAGCATGACAAATTACCCATCAAGCCATATCTTTTCAGCCCAGAATGCGCAATAACACAGAGTCATGGCATTATCACATGTTGTGCACTTTATTTCCTCACAGTTCATTCAAGTGTGTCACTTTATTTTCCGCTTCCTTTTGTCATCACAAAGATTAACCATTTTATCCGTTCTAAACTTTAAAAACAATTAGAAATTCATTGTATTGAAAGCTGAGAGTGAATACCTATTCCTGCTTTTATAAAGTATACTTTTCCTATTATCTGTGGCAAAATTATGTCCACGGAACCTGAGCCTATGAATAAGCAAAAGCTTTGGTCCTTATTATACAGATGAGTAACCTTGGCTGAGGACAAGAGAATTATTTGTAGCCCTTGGCCACTAACCAAATTAACTGTAAGACACTGCTCAGTTTGACAGTGAGTGAGTGCAAGATTCTCTTGGCAGTTATGAAACTCTCTGGACCAGATGTGTGCAGGGCATAGTTCTCTCTCTCTCTCTCTCTCTCTCTCACTCAAGATAAATACCAATAATTGTACAGCATGTACAGAGATATCTCACAGACATTGCAACTATGTGTTAGAAAAATCAATCAGAATAGCTGAGATAGCAGTGCTGCAGCTGATATGTAGACGGAATCTTTAGAAATTATGATTAAGATGATATAGAGAAAATTCTTTCTTAAATGCTTCATTTACTGCACTGATCATAACTTATTAGTATTCCTCTGGAAGAGTATGCAAGTTAGGTGCCCAGTGACTCCTGAAGGGTCTGCAGCATTAATTTACAGATTGAAGTAAATGGATGGAGCAAATTCAAAGCTCTCATGCTAATACATCCAGTGATTTAGATGGGATCTCCTTAGAGGCAGGTGGCTTAACATTTTGATGTAGCTTCTTAAATTGTTTTACAAATCTCCATTGAAAGAAATAGAATAAGAAAGAAGAAGAAAAAGAAGAAGAAAAATGGAAAACCAAGGTTGAGGGGGTGCAATGAGATATTATGTGATCAGATAGCGCATTGATGTATAAGAAAGTAGGATACATGGGCAGACAGACCCAAGCTTACCTACTATCATATTGTTATTAAGAAAATGTCTATACTTCATTTATATAGAATCAATAAACAGCTACAATAGCAGTGGGAATATGACAAAAGGGGTTTTTGCTTGCTTGTTTATTTGTTTTTAATCTAAGTATCTAGGAATGGACCAGAAGGGGAATTGCTGGGAGTATTGCATTTCAGGACTGAGATGAATTGGCAAACCTATGTGAGACAGCCTACGATTTAAATTTGTAGGAGCTAAGAGATCAGATTTGAAGTTCATTGGCAGAACTCTGTGGGGCTCAGGACATGCCGTGGTGACCGTAGATTAGGCATGAGCTATCAGGATTCAGTCCTACTCTCTGATGCACACCCCCATGTATTTGGAAAACGTGTGCTTACTGTATAAATGCTGTAGCTGATTTGTTAGGATATCAGATAGCAGAATTGAGCCCTTAGTGCTGGCATTTGGAAATCCAACCCCCTAATTACCACTACACAGAGGTTGAATTCTGAAAGGTTTTCTAAATCATTATTTCCTCACAGATGTCATGGCAGGGTTAATGCCATAGGAAAAAGTAAAGCATTTTCTAAAAATCATGGGTTTTCAGAGAATAGGAAAATCTTTGGACTTCTATTTTTTGTAACAAATTTGCTAGAACTCTTGAAATGACTCCAATTGAGTATTTGAAACCAACACTGCTGTAATTCATTAATTTTTGTAATGTTTATAGTTCATTCATTTTTTCTTTTGTACTTCAGGCAAGAGAAGGTAATATAAAATGAGCTCCAGTACATTTCTGCATATTTCCTCCTCCATGGAAATGTATTATTATAGCTAATAAACAAAATGATACCAGCTTTGTCACACAAATAACATTACTAAAGGTTCCAAAATCTTGACAATGTTGACAGTTGTTTTCAGCAAATGGTTGCTTCAGTGTAGTACTGTCAATGTTGATGTCCTTGTGCACATGTAAAAGAGCAATGTGATTAAGGCAAGCTTGTCCATGCTAGATATGAGCCAAGTTTTCAATCTCCCTGTGGCACCGAAAGATTGCTCAGCTGTTGCAGATAAGGCAAGAATAGCTAGTAGATTTCTGCCATTTTTTAAAAATATCCTTCTCTCTGGACATGCATTCTGTAGGAATTTAGCAACATCTGCTGCTGACCTAACATTCCGGATAAGAACTGTTCATATTTGTAGTTCTCATTGGTATTGGTCAATTTAGATGATACATTTCCTTGGTGAATAGCGAGTTGTCTTTGTAAAAGGAAATTTATCTGGATGAGGCTAAACATTTTCTGTACTTTTTACATACATTGTCACCATTCCTCCAGCCCCAGCTTATCATTGTAGTTTCTGCCCACCATATGCTGAATTTAATTTCCACAAACAATTTATGTAGTCTTTTAACCTGAGAATATTTCATGCGGATGCTTGAAAAACAATGCTAAGGAAATTATTCCTACATCTGTTTCTGCTTAGGACATTGATTATCCCTTTCATTTTTCCCTCACAGAGCAGATGAAAGGAGTGGAAAACCTGCTTCTTTAGCCAAAATTTTGTCAGAGGAAAAAGGGCTGAGCTAACACAGCAACATCTTCCATTCCTGGGAGCCCGGGTATCCCGTGTATGATGTCGGTGTATGGTGATCTTATGGGGCTCAGCAGTTTTTCTAAGTATGGAGGGAGAGAGAGCAAGCCAATTTCTACTTCATAATCTCCCAGCAAACCCATAGGGATTTTCTTATGTTAAGTTACTACAAACTCTGTCAGTATCAATTTACATAGATTTTCACATTGTGTCTCCTAAACTCTTCTGGAAGGCTCTTGGGGGTGATTTTTGAGTTGTCTCAGACACAGGGGAATGAATGAGGGACAAGGTTTGAAAAGTAATATGAAGAAACGAGTCATTTATATTGACGGACCACAAATGTCCTCAATCCTGGGCATGGTACAGCAGGTCTTGGGACATCATGAGTTGGAAGAAAGTCTTGTCAATTGTAATTCACTGTAGGCTGGGCTTTCGTAAGTGCTCAATGCTATCCTAGATCGATTCCCATTAAGTCAATGGTTCCCATCACTCTGCAATCCCTCTGTGCATTTTCTGCACACACAGCACAGGTAACTAGTGTGATGTGGTGTGCATGATTTGATCCATTGGGATTTTGATGAGCCAGGAGAATTATATGTGTGAAGGACTTGCACTTTTAATAGGCCCCTTTAATACTAGCTACTTGGATTCCAGAAATGATTCTGAGAAACTAATAAACTATCTGTGTAATTAAATACTACACATAAAAATACTTCAAAAGAATTTTTGCCACTGGTCCCTAGTCTTATTCAGTACACATGGTGAGCAGTGCAAGCTGAATGTCTTCTAGTCTGTTTTTGGTTCTGTATTGTTCAATGTGTGGGCTTTATGCTTTATATATTATTTACACCATTTCTGAATAAAGTACTATTAATTTCCTCATGGGCTTTCCTGTTGCACTCATCAGTGTAGTATCCAAGTGCTTCACAGAAAATTATTTATTTTCACAACAGCCCTGTGGGTTGAGATGGTGGTATTGGTTCCATTTTATAGATGAGCAACTGAAGCATAGAGAAGTGAAGGACAGATGTCTCCACTCATTTAGAATGCCTTGAGATGCCTGAGGCCTGATTTTTCAGATTACTTCGCATTATAGAACATTTTATATTTCCAAAATACAGCTCTCATTTACTTCAGTTGCAGCTGAGGGTATGCAGTGTTCTGCAGATCAGAGTCCCAGATCTCAAGTTAGGCACACAATTAATGACCACATTTGAATAGTTTGGCTGGAGTGACTTGTCCAAGATCACAAACGAACTCTGTGGCAGAGGCAAGAATAGAATCCAGTTCTCCAGGACAGCATTCATCTGTCTTAACCATGAGACTTTCTCTTCTTGTAGTCCCTTGGAAATCTCACTACATACCTTCCAATTTGTGCAACAAATGAAACGGCTTCTACAGACAGCCTTATTCACTACGTACTCTTGATTTGTCCCTTGAGCACAATCCACCCTGTGTACAGAATGAAGCAGAGGTCCCGTGGAAAATTTTTTTAGTAATTAAGGAGTGCATCTGAGTGCATTCAAACAGGCAGTCGATTATGGTTGCACGCGCAAGCTAATATTGTTGAGTTTTTTTGCTTTTGGGTGTTTGACTTTCCGACATTAGTGTTCCCTTAAAATAGGGTTTTGTGTGGGGATTTTTCTAGTTTTATTTAAATGCAGCCATAAAAACAGATATTTCATCCTGTGAAATCATATTGATATCCACATGTCAATGGGTAATCAGCTGAATCAGATCCTTTAGATCCAAAGTTCAGACTTCTGTCTGTGGAGTTAATAAAACATCTGAAAGCAGTAATAGGTTTTTATATTATATGTGGCTTAGTGACTGGAAAGGAATGAGACATACACTGCGCCAGGCAGTGTTCCCTCTAAGCTGAGTGGCCACACAGCTTCACAGGTGA